CTCAAAATTAGCCTTTTTCATCTCTGATAAGTGCCCCGTTTATTTTTACATGTGCCTCCTTTTCTTTTTAAATAAGTTCTTCTTCCACCTTCTCATAAAAGCTGCCTTTTGTTCATCCTAATTGGTAGATCTCTTTTTTAAGGCATAAGAAATGCCCCGTTTTCACCTCTGATAATTACCCTTTGTACTTTGAAACGTGCTCCCTTTTTTCTTCTTCTAATAAGTGTGTTATCCGTTTCGATATGTGTCCCCTTTTTCCTTTCATCATTAAACGTGCCACTAATTTCAAGCGACTAAGAGCAATACCCCCAAATGTATAGATGATATAATAATGTTACTTATCAAAGGTCATTTCAGTCTTCCGTTATGAGATAACCCCATCAGGATTGGGGTTTTCCCTCTTTATAAGATGTATTTTTTTGCACTACGACCTCATAAATCTCTATCAAATTTCCTCGATCGCTCGCAATTGAATTTTCAGACCATCACACCTAACTGCAAAGTATGATACTTAAGCAATATCTTGTATGATGTATAAAAAGAAAAGAATATTGAAATCATCCACGATAAGTTAATCACAATGTAGGGGTATATACCAATGTTTAAAAAAATTGTATATTTTCCCTTCGTAGGTGCCCTTTTTTCTCCAGAAAGTGCCCTTCTTTGTTGGTGCCCCACCCACTTTGGTAATCGCCTCGCCGCCCCTGGGTGAAAAATAAAATAAATCACGCACTTCTCCAGAAAGTGCCCTTTTTGTTGGTGCCCCCCTCCCCAAATGTGGAAGTCGCCTCGCCGCCCCTGGGTGAAAGTTAAAATAAATCAAGAAAAATTTAAAGAAAGTTGTAAATTTTTGGCAAAATGTAATAACTTTACCTTAACATTTACAAATTGGCCAAATGGGTAATCTTAACTGTCGCTCTCATATTTTGTCAAACACTCAAAAAGACTCAAACGTAAATTTCTCCAGAAATATGTGATCCAGGCGTGTCTTTTTCTCCCCCGGAAATCTACCCCCAATAAAATATCCTCCGAGTACAATTACCCCCCAGAGAATTATCCCCGAGGACAACTACCCCCTCCCCCAAGGACAATTACCCCCGAGGATAATTACACCCCCCCCCCCCCCCGTGGACAATTACACCCCGAGGAATTGCAACACTGTGACGCATAATACGAGCTACTCACCAAATAACTTTTTAGAGAAATCTTCATGAACTTTCATTCTCTAAGTTATTTTTGACGGAAAAGATTTGTTTCGTACAAGGGTTGTATATAAACATATTTGCAATAATTATATTTTTGGGTGAATGTATGATTGACAATTTTCCGGGGGGGGGGGGTAATTGTCCTTGTGGGGTAATTATCCTCGGGGGTTATTTTCCGGGGGGGGGGGGATAAATAGTCGGGGGGGGGGGGTAATTGCCCTTGACGGGTAGTTTTCCGGGGGTGATTTTCCAGGAGGTAAACGTCCTTTTACGGATTATATACCGATATAGCTATTATATATTTCAAAAATTCATATTTAGCTAAGCTTTACTGTTATTGAAAAGTTTTATTTCAACTTTCGCCATTTCGCTTCTCTTTAATATTTCCCTGCTTTCATAAACTCAAATGAAATCATTTCAAAGGTTGGATTGCCCTTTAAATTAAAAATTACTAACCCGTCTGACTGATTCGAGGGCAATGGTTGATTGATGACGATGGCATTTTAGCCGATGATTTGAGATTAAACAACTGTCGCTCGTTCAGCCCTACGCCTGTTCACACGTCATCCGTCATCTTTAGTTGCATTGTCACTTTCAGGATTAAAGGGCGCTCTTCAGTTGCATTGTCACTTTCAGGATTAAAGGGCGCTTGTCAGACTTGCTCATAGCTACCTGAGAGGTATAGTTACGTCACCGGAAGTTGCTTCTGATTGGTCAGGCATTTCATGAAGCTCACAGATATTACCCTCCTATAGAGATTGTACGTGGGAGGGAACTATTTGGAGCTCCGTGGTTTAACATACTCTCGCATACTCGTAGATTTATAATATATCAATACTCTATATGGATCAGCTACACGATGAATAGAAGGGGGGGGGGGGGGTGGTCCGGAGACGCGGGAAATTTTCTTACCATGAGATTTGCTTTATCAAGAAGTATGATCATGGACCTACTACAGCAGGGTATGACTATTTGCTTGGATGGGTGGGGTGGCTGCGCGAGATGAATAGATTCGTCCTTTCGATTTATGGTTTTATTTTAGTTACATTGCCATATATGTATTTATCTTTTTGTTTATTTTGTTTATTTGTTTATTTATTAATTCATTTATGTATTTTCTTATCTATTTTTTAATGTATTTATTTGTTTATTTATTCATTGATTATTAATTATTTTATCAATTTCTTGTTTTTGTGTGTTTTACAATATTTGTGATGGGCACGTGATGTAGGCCTATGCGCAGCGAGGGTCCTCTTCTTTTCCTTTCCGAAAGAGCGCCCTCTTTTGTTTACACCTCATCCTTGTGTCGTCATGAATTATTGTCAACCTGAGATAAAAACCCGTGGCTACCGAAGACCACGGGCAAATTTATTGGGGAAGGGGCGCGACCCCCCCCCCCCCCCCCCACTCGTGTAAGCCAATGTGGCATACTCTAAGTGGATAATAAAATATGCACCCTTTCAAAACAAAGGGCCTCTTGATGATATGAAAACCGATCGACAAGATCGTAAAAACTTTCGAAAATCAATCTTGGGTACTCAAATAGCCTGACCTTTGAATACTGAAATATGCAAATATTATAACATATTATAAATGATTCGGTCATGATATCTCCACAATAATATGGTATTCAAAGTGCCCTTGCATTAATTTTTCGAAATATTTTGCTATCGTCATTTGGGATAAATCTTTGGGTCTAATTCTAAATATTTCTGTATGTATATTATTTAATCTTGAAGACTCCAGGTGAATCTTTACAACTTGCAACAAAGTAGCTTTCAGCTGTTATTCCCTTATGACTGAACTTTTCAAAAGATGATAACCCACGAACGAACGAACGATCATCAAAAGAAAAGTAACCCCTTAGAATAAACCTGGTCCGCCTCCGAATGAAGACGGTGCGATTTTAAACGTAAGACAAACTGAAAAAACAAAAGTGATTATTCATTTTGTTATCGTCTCCTCGAAGGGCAATGGATTAAGAGGCGACGCCCCGGTATAAAGCAAGCAGTGTTAGCGTGTTCTTTTTTAGTTGATATTTTGATCGCGTATTAGGAAACGATTTGTGACTAAGGGAAAAAACAAACACATGTAGTCGCGGCGCTGATATGCAACTGCGTTTTTCATGCACGCCATTACTGTTCATTTTAAAATGTACAATTTTTAACGCATCATCTATTCAATGAATTAATGCAAAGAATGACGAGATTTTTTTAAAACATGAAACCTTTCGAAATAATTATAAGTAGGACTATTGAGATCGACTTATATCACACTATTTTCTTGGAGGCCATATAGATGTCCAGTTCGTTAATTGGTGCATGATCACATAAATTAATCGATTAGCCCGTTGCATTTCCGTAAGTACTTTTCTCCGAAAGTTTTCTCGAAATCACAATTTCTGAGCGAAATACGACGGGCGTCATAGCTCGTCATTCTTGGGGTTTGTTTCATCTTGGGACCTTGCCACCGCCCCCTCCCTCGCAATAAGCAAAAACAAAACATGAAGAACCATTCAAACGCTAGTTCTTGATGAGCCATGCTCGCATCATGAGTTGGCGTATTACGTAATTTGAAGTTACTATCAAAGGAGCCTAGACGATATAGCTAATTTGCCATCACAATTATTATGTTGTTGTTGTAATTATTACACAATGATTGCCTATTGTCTTAACGTGGTGAAAGACAAATGGAATGATTTATTATGACGTCATTTTATACAGACGTCAATCACCAGGCCCCTCTTTTTTTTCTTTTTTTTAACATTCATAGCCTCTTTCCATTCTGATTTTTCTCCAATATTTGTATCTTATTTATTTTTAGATGACAAATTTGATTCCCCTATTTTTGTTCAAACAATCTACTTTCCCGTCCTCCGTCCGTTTCCTTCTTTCTTGAATATCCCCTCCCATTTCATTTATAAGATATCAGGTCTTTCTCACCCCCCCCCCCTTTAAAAATCCAATTATTAACAAAATGCCCACGGCACCGCCACTCCGAGAACGGACGGACCCCATGCGTGTTACCAAAATGTCCGGTAAAGGGGTACTTTTCGTGCGACAAAGTCCGGCCCAAGAATTGTAAAAAAAAAGGGGTGTTTTGTCTTTTTTTCTCTCATCTCTTTGGACTCCTGAGAAATTATTCCGAATTTAGGGGGGTACATTGAGCATTTTTCATGATTTAGGGGGTCTCCAATGCAGAAAAAGCCCGCGAAAAGCCCACGAAAGGGGGGGTCGGAAATGTCGGCAGTCCTCAGATAGGGGGTGCTTTCAAAAAGAGGGAACAAGCATATGCGTACCCTAAAAAAACACTGAGTGGGGGGGGGCCGGGAAAATGCCCCCTCCCCCAATTCCAATTTTTCACCCCTCTTTATGCCATGCTCCTTCCTCTCTCGCACTCTATCTGGGCTTACTCCTCTTTTCTTTTCTCCATTCCGCTTTCTTTCTCTCTCATTTGAATGTGTTCTCTCCGACGCTCATTTTCTCTATTTTATTTCCCCAATATTTTCTATTCTTTCTACCCTCTTCTCTCTCTCTCTCTCTCTCTCTCTCTCTCTCTTTATCTCATTTTCTCTTCATTTTCCTGTCCCGCTCTGTCTGGCTCATTTTTCTTTCCTCTCCCAATCTCTCCCCGTTCTCTTATCCTCTTTTCAATGTTCCCGCCTCCTGCTCTACACTCGTTTTTAACCATCCACACTTTCCCTTCAAATGTTGATATTACATTTGCTACGTAAAACCCTAAATCCAAATCAGTCAAAACCATTCATAACAAATGGAAACAATCTGACATAAACAATTTACGTCGACATTTCACAATTTTATTTTTTTCACCGTCCACGTCTGAAAACACATTGACGTCAACAGAACCGTGAGAAGTAAACACAATAACAAAAACAATTGATCAAGGCATATTAACCAATCTAACTCAATCCTCTAAAAAATAAAAATATAAATAATATGTTACCGAGACTTAACATAACACTTGTGTGCATAGTGTGGTATCCATGTAGTTTACTTTGGTTTCAATACATTAAGAAAAACACAAAATCTTCTCTTTTAAACAATGATGTATACCTCGTTATCTTTTATAGACAGAACATGTGAGTTCTTCAGCTTCCACCGTATGTAATATTGGAGGATGAATGTTTCAGGGTATTTGAAATGAAGTTCATATTTTTAAAGCATTTTCAGGTATTACAGAAACAACATATTGAGATAACATTACTTCTGTTTTGCCTTAAAATAAAAGGACATAAAAGGACTTTTCACAGTCAGAAAAAAAATAATTCAAACAGGTGAAAAACAGTGCCAGCACTATAAAACACCACTATAGAACTCAAAGCAAAATATTCATCATCTTTGACCATCTACGGTCTGTGTGTAGAAACAGAAATATAAACAATACTTACAAAAATTGTGAAAAATACAATCATTTTCTTCTAGTGTGTCAAAAAGCTTATTTTACAACAAAGGCGACTGAATTTCTAGTTTTTCCCCTTTCATTCTCTTATGTTTTTATACAAGGCGCACCATTGGTACAATTGTTCCTATTTACAATACATTTAATGGCACTCTTCATGTCAGATCCCATTACATACAGTTGTTATCATCACTCAGTACCCATAAACAAATATGGATTTTAAAAATTCTGTTAACACAATAGAGCACTAATTGCTCAGTCTTTAAAATCCACCATGTTACAATTATCATACAATTTCATGAATTCTCACTCATTTTTGTTTCTCTTTCCATCTCAGTCACTCGCGCATTTACAAAAAGCACAAATTGCACTCTCTAGAAAACACATGTGTACACAAAAAGGCTTTTCTTGCTACACTATCATTCTCTTTATCTCTCTCTCTCTCTCTCTCTCTCCCTCCCCCTCTCTCTCTCACATTACGAAATACATGTACATTTACAGCCAATACGAAGCATGGGCCACCTTCTATACACAAAACTGATGTAAGTACAAATATAAAAAAGTGCTTTCAAAACCTTGTTCTTTCTCTGGCTACAATCTACAAATATCGTAAACTTCTGCAGTACGTTTTTCTAGAAGGCATATTTTTTCTTCCTGTGAATCGACACCAAGGCACATGGATGTGAAGACGAAAAAAATAAATCAACCAAATGGAAAATATACTTTTCATTCTAGCACAATTAGGCAAGTTTTAAAGGTGCGCAGATCAAAAGTTTCCTTGTTTAAAAATGATAAAACACATCATCTTTCTAGTAGTTAGGTACATTTCTGCTGAACTTATGTCTTCAAATACACATCCCACTTTGTACTAAATCAGATAAAACTCCATGGTACTTTAAAATGGCAAGTTTGGACAAAATTACATTCTTCGCCCCTCGCATAAGCAGCAGAAGAAGATTTGAGAAAACTGGATGCGTTTTACCCAAGCTCAATTGGGAATGCATATAGCCTACTCTAAGCCCTCAATGATACCATAAAGATGCACACATGCATGCTTTTGTATGGTAATGGATGATCCCATATTTGCCAAGGATAGCGTTGAGTGATCCACAAAAGCTTAAGTACTCACTAAAGCAGTTTGACATCACTCTTCCCCAACACTAATAAATTGTATCGATATTAAGAAGAAAGTCGAGTGTAAGACGCCAACACCAAAATCTGGTGCTAGCAAATTGTATCGGTATTATGAAAAACGCTGAGTGTAAGACGCTAAGACCAATATCCGGTGCTTTACAGACACCAGGTCCTAAAGAGTTATGAAGCTAGATGCTAGTACACCATAATACAAGAAAAAAGCTTGTGCATGCACACAAACATGTAGACTAAATCAGATGTTCTACCCACATGAGCAGTTGAACCAATATGCACAAAAATAAATTATTAAAACAAAAGCCTGGATTCACCATCCTAACATTAGGTTTGGTATATCTCAACATTCTGCATGATACCTAGAAACAAAATATAATACAAAAAAAGTCGTACACAACTTTTGCACAAAGCCCATAAGGGATCAGCCCTCGTGAAAGATAACACAAACAAATATATCACAAAGGTAAAACATACTAATACACTGTAGCACCTTTTTGTTCATCATTCAGAGGAGATGATTAAAAAAAAAATAGCTTGCATCAAATTGGTATATCATGTTCATAAACCCACAAGGAATGTGATTGCAATTGAACATGAAAACCACTGGTCATTTTTAACAAAAGAAAAAAAGAGAATAAAACTACGATGCAGACGACTTTGGAATGTACTTCTAACGAATGTAAATCAAAAGGTTTGAATTAAATCATATATTGCAAGTTGCTGGCTTTCAAGGAACGAACCTTGTCTCACACCACCTAATTCAGCCTGGTCATAATATTCATTCGTTCAGGCAGCAAGCGATAAAAAAAGTTTGGTCACATGAATGTTCTTGCAAGTGGAATAAAAACTGAAGTAGGTATAAACATGACTCGTCTTCAAAAAGCACTTTCAGACATTTTCGCATGACAAAAATAAGTTGCTGGCTCTCTTTTTCATCTACTATTTTAAAACTACAGGAAATGCATAGGACTTTAATAACTATAATAGTACATTTTCAATTTTCACTTTAAAAAGGAGAGAACTGGTTGGATTCCAAAATGTCATTCCAGATGACATATCAAAGTTTTTTTTTCTTCACAAAAATATGAAAAAGCATGCAACATGTAAGCATTAAATTTATACACGATTAAGTACAGTTTTGTAGGCTTTAACCTCATAAAAGGATTAAGAATTGTCAAAATTTCATTTCATTTAAAATCCTTCTCAATAGCTTAAAAATTAAGGCATAAAAGACATACTTGGACGAATTTAATGGCAGATTCGAATGCTACTTTATCTAACATTCTGCAAACTCTCAACCTATACAGATAAAAAAAGTGCATGCTTCTGAATTATTGAAATTGCACTGCTGCTAATTAAATTTCTGAAGAGATGCATGTACAAATTTAGAGGACTCTGGCGGAATTTCACGAATTTCACGAGTTCGATTACAACAAATGTGTAATAACAAATGTGTAATGTCTCTACACGAGGAAAAGCGACACTCCTCACCACATGAATATATCCTCTACCAATGAATAACTTTCTTTCAAAAATAGAATGCGATAAACTTTACGCAACAGTCATGTCCTCTGTCTAATACGCAACTTCAACATTTCACACAAGTCCGGTATTCTTGCGCGGTGCACATCGCAGGATTCTCAGTCATCGTCGCGTGCAGGGTTGACGCCGACCATCTCGTGCAGCTCCTCGGGCGTGTATCCCAGAAGGCTCTGCAGGTCACAGACGAAGCGGTAGACGTAGCGCTTGCCCGCCGTCTTATGGATGATGTTCTTGTCATAGTAGTAGCGCAGTCCTCGGCTAAGCTTCTCGTAGTTCATCTTGGGTTTGTTTTTGCGCTTGCCCCACCTTCTGGCGACCTCGTCCGGGTCGGACAGCTTGAATTCCCAGCCGTCTCCGGTCCAGCTGATGATGTGCTGGCATGTCTTATCGGTCAGAAGCTCCAGGAGAAACTGCCATAGTTGGATAGGACCACTTCCTGCAAGTGAACAAATATAAAAGGATACGTTAACACACACACAAGATTGACTATTATGACTTTCATTATATCAGTTCAGCTACATTTTCACAATGGGACTGTGTTATCAAACCCCACATTCTAGGAGCTGGATGGGCGGCCCTGTGTCAAATCTGGGAAAACCCCAGAATTTAGAAATCAATGGTTCCAGTTCTTCAGGTCTTTAAAACTCGTCATCATATGTTGAATGGTTCCAGACTTCCAGTCAACATTATGATGACGAGTTTCAAAGTCCTGAATAATTTTTGTCCTCATATAATGCCTTTAATTTGAACTCTAAAGTTACAAGTACAAGCGTCATACACATCTACAAAATACATCAAGAGAGGATTTGCTAGTTCTTTTCAAATTAAACCATCAAATCATCGGTGGCATATAATGCAAAATCAGCTTTAAAGCTTTGGAATTAACTTCTCAAACAACCCACTTTAGGCCTCTTTACATCTGACCGCAACACACATGACCCGAGAGTACGTCATGCAGTTGTGATACACAGATGTCGCTCAAAATCCTACAACAAAAAGGCTATGCAGGGACTACATGCATGCAAAATTATGGGGCCCATGCATTGTTGACCCTGCCCAGTTTTGTTGTCTCTGCCGTTTCGTCATCTCAGTCAGCATTTTTGGTGTAACACATGCTAGTAGTCATATGGCTAAAGGTTTACTACACAAGGCCAGTTCTGGTGTGAAAATGACTGACTCATTTCTCGCTACTAAATCAATGTGATGGACCGTGATGTGCAGTAGTTTCCATGATTAACACTTCTTAGCAAGTCTGTTACCACTGCCAGTATTTGGAGAGAGAGAGAGAGAGAGAGGGATAAAGGGAGAAAGATAGAGAAAGACACACAGATAGACAGAGAGAGAGAGAGAGTTCCTTTCTTTTACTGCTCAATGGAACGGGAAACACTTGCACAAATATTATTGCTAGATTTGTGGAGGAGGTGGGCCTCAGCTACCCCTCTGCCCCGCCCCCACCCACTCCCAATGTTATGCAATGCTAACTACAGAAGAGGAACCTACTATTAAAACGGCTTAACGCCATCACCTCTTATTGGGGCTGTGCACCACCAATCAATATACATTGATGCTCACAGTAAAGCTGTGGCAACACACCTTTCTTGCATCAGTCGGTGCATGCATGAGTCAAGGCCGGGGCAATGATCTAATCCCCATTGTCTTTCAGATGGGGATTTCCAACCCATTATATTGCTAAATGGCATTTATATCAAACACATTTGTTAGGGAAAATACAAATGAAGAAGAAAAAAAAGGTGCACTGAATGCCTTTTAACTTGACACATTCAAAGTACTTAAACAAAATAAGTTAAACCAAGTAAAATATAGATAAACCCCTCAAAAAATTAATAATCATGCCGTAGAGTCGATATTCGATAATACTTGAAACTTTTAAGGGGTTTTGATATACCTGTAACTTTTTACTTCAAAGAGCATCTATGACAACAGAGACTATCCAAAACTATCAGTGTGCAGTTTAAAACATATGATCAAGCATTTAGACTACCTGTATATATTATATATCTCAGCTTTGCTAAGTTAAGTACATCTACATTACCCGTTTGAAATACAAACCAATTGATCTATCAATCACCGAGTTCTTTTATTCCATATCAAAGAGATAATGGGGTAATAATATGTGGGACTGCCATTTGGGGCGCCTTTTGATAGTGATTACTTTTTTCTTTATACTGTCTGTATATTTGATGCATACATATGTAGATCTGGTATCATGTCCGTCTACTTTGAAATTTGAATAGAGTTCACACGCCTATCACATGGAGTGCTAGTCTAGACCGTGGACCAGACATTGGGAGCGATAGATGCACTTGATGACCATATAACCACAAGGAACACTAGCGATAGCATAAGGTAGCCCCACCTAGCCACGCATGATCTTCCTGTGGGTATGACACGTACATGTATTCTCATGCTAAAAGGTCCCATGTCACAAAGCACCGTTACAGCAAATCGTGTCTGTGCTTCACGGTGTGTCATTAAAGCCTGTCTGCTCTAGTTTGGCCAGGAGGGATTAGACCTCTATGCGTCGTCACCGATAGGTGGTTATCTTATCAAATCAGCTCTCAGTTAACATAAGAAAAAGGAGATCATGGGGGATCAACGGGTACCGCTTAGGCATTGTTTACTGTATAGAGGGCGCAAGTAGCTACAGGTAGAAATGCAGTCCTGCTTTAAAGGAGGTGATATTGTCCGTGTACATTTAGATCCAAAAGGGCATTAGCTCTGTGTAAAATATATTTGTTTGTGTCCTCCTGGCTCCAAACCGATGATATTAATGTATTAGTTACAGATTTATAAGTTGCAAAGTAATATGTAAGTATGAAAGAGTAAGATTGGAAAGAAAGGAGGAAGGGATCGAGGGAGGTAGGGAGGGAGGGGAGAGAGAATGGGGAAAATAAATTGAAGAAATACAGAAGAGAAGGGGGGGCTGTGCAGATAAAGAGAGAAAGAAAGAGAGAGAGAGAGATAGAGAGAGAGAGAGGGAGAGAAATGAGACAGACATACATGCAGAAAAACAACAGTAGAATAAAAAGGGAGACAACCACTAAACAAGATCAGAGCAATGGAACTAATAGAACCACCCATGCAAGAACAGAATGAAAGAAATAGTATGAAAGAAATAGTAACAAAAACGACCCTCCCCTAAACAAACTTCTCTCACACCACTGAGTAAAGACAATGCTACGCTCGTATCTCTCCGAGGGCTCACAGCTCGCAGCATAGATGCATACACGAAGAAGAGACAAACTGAGTAATTACCCCTTGTGTTCTGCTCAAACTTTAGCCCAATAAATTGGCTACGTTTTGTGCGTACCCTTTGAGGCATGCCTGAGCTAGAGACAGAGCTAGAGACAAATATCTCCATGAAAAACACCCTGACCTCGCCTTGACTGAAACCACAACGGCCACAATTTCAAAGAGAGGGGTAAACAAACTCTCACAAGCTCTCACGGGGGAATTTTAGCGCCCTATGTTGGAGGCTTTCTCTGTACAGAACCAGAAGGGCCTTAACTCTATGTTAAAGCATTTGAATTAACGCCCTTCTGGCTCCAAACAAGATATATTCAATGTGCTATACTTGCGAGTTATAGAAATGAATTATAAACATGAGTGGAAAAATGAATATCATCATGAAAGCATAAACAATGGTGTTACATTGGACAGAATTGCAATACACATTAGCTCACATGCAGAAATTAATCATGAAATGAATGGCACTGAATGCATGTAAATGTTGCTCTGACACTGTGCACAGTTGAGCATAACTGTTAGGTTACACTTATATCTAATATTTCAGCTTATTAATAAAGCATTCTTTTTTTAGACTCCAAGTATACAGTAGGAAATAGCATGACCCCTAAAATGCTAATCTCTTATCATTGAAAGTAAGTCCTTTCGCTGACACTTTGCGAAGCTAAACTGGACAGAAGTGATAGGTTGATTGATAGACATCTTGAAAGCCACTTCTGAAGTTTCTGAAGTGAAGTGACAGTATAAGTGGTAGTTTCAAAAGCTTCCCTTTTCACTTGGTCTAATATAGAACTGGCAGATTCAGGAAGGGGAGGGGAGGGGGACGAGCCCCTGCCCCGCTTTTGAAGCATTATTTGCATACCCATGTATGTACAACAAAACCCCAAAATTTAACACAAAAATCTGCCTAAATAGTTGATGTACCTTTTCCTGTTTGCTTGTCTGAGAATTCTGATTTGTGCCCCCTAATTTAGAAGAAAAAGTCCTTGATGCATATGCCTCTGATTAAAAAAAACTTTATGCAAAGTTAAAAGTAGATTTAGTAGAAATAGTATTGATGACAAAATGGTGGATTGTAAATCGGTATTTTAAAAAAAGCACTACTGTGAACTACATATCTTGAAAAGAGTGAATTTTAATGAAAGAATTAATTCATTGAATGTCCATATCTATATAGGTTTTGTAGTATATTTTCCTTTTTAAGCACCATTTGAACATTTTAATTTAATCAAGTCAATAGTATTGTTGGTTACTTTCTAGAAACGTTTCCAAACAAGTTACGATGAAATAATAAATCTGGGGCAATCATAACCTTTTAGTCACCAGTCCCTAAAGTTGTTCCTGTGAAAAAAATGAAATTGTACGGACGTACAAGTATATGTAAGATCTAACTCTGTCTATTGTTAGTGAGCAACTACAAGTAATTTTAATGTACTGTATAGGTGATATGAATCATATCCTTTTTCAAATGAAAACAAGAGTGTTTTGTGGTTTTCTTTATAGTACGACCAACCATTTAGACTTGATCATAATTTTCTGGTCTTGCTGATGAGTTTGAGTACAATATACATTCAAAATGCATATTCAATTATACAATAATTTATTATCAAGCACTATAGAAATCCAATTTAATCTATCATTCAATAGTATTATTTACAGTGTACATATGAAGTCCTGGTAATTCGATAGGCATGCAGATGATATTGTAATGATATTGATCCTACAAATTTGATGTGTTTGAAAAGAAGTTTTCTACTTAAATGTTTTTTTTTTTTTTTGGGGGGGGGGGGGGGGGGGTTGTTCGATCATATGGCCGAAACCTATTTCCTGCTTTTATAATGTACCTGTATTTTTGTCATTTATGTAGTTGATATACATAGGATGAGAAATGTATTCAATTTTTGTATTACTTTCATTAAAACACAAAACATTAACTGTTATAAAAAAATGTGTTCTACCAATTTGCCAATGCAAGTGGAAAATTAAAGTCTGCATAACAAATTAACCTTTGGCCCAAAACCACTGGATGGGGAAAACCAAGGTCCATACTGCACTATTTCTGATCGAACCAGGCTTATCAAAACTTCAACAAGACTGTGGTTGATATTTCTATGAAAGTAGGTTCGAATGGAAGGCATTGCTTCCTATCAACAATTGTTCATATTCACTCACGTATTTAATGAGTGTTGAATAGAAAGACTCATCACCACCTAAAAACATATGAATGGGTCTAAAGGGGATATCCTACACAAGTGTTCAATGCATTATCTCTACCTTGCAATGTTCATGAAAGGAAGTGTTGGGTATCACACAACGGAAATTTACATGGAATTAACTTTGAAATATCATTAGCAGGTCTCGCCTCTGAAAACCAAGAGAACCTTCCTGCTCATTAATGGATCTTTATTCTGAAATGTGATCCGGTATGGACTTGTAAGTCTCATTTCTTCAACTGATACGTAGCATATGCTCCCATTTGCTCATGCCATTGATACTTAAGACATTTTAAAAGTTATGCTCTTTACTTATGGTGCCCGTGTGTTTAGGGAGATGTACAGTGATCAACTAAATTATCCATACCCCTTGCAAATTGGAAATGTTCTGTTTTTCAAAACTCAGGAATGAAAGGTGAACTGGTTTAAATAGGGCCTTTGTATCATACTTTAAATGTAAGCGTATATATGTCACATTCCTATGTTTTTCACATACTAATATATAACTTGGTAAAGGTATGAATAAATTTAGTTGTCAACTGTATGAGGGTGCTATATCAGGCAAGATACACTGCCAGACAAACTTCTTGTCTTCTCTCCAGATAAATTAACCCTCCCAACCTAAAAAAGAGACCACTGAAAGACACATGAATGCTATGGGCTGGGATCACGGCTGTGCTTTAAACGATGGTGGCTCTAAAGTGTTAATTAGTCTCAAATGCAATTAATAGGGAACGAGTGTGAATAAAGTAGTGACGCCCATGGCTAATCAATTCCTCGCGTTTATCAACAACAAAAATGCACATCATGCGCACACAAAACCACAGAAGTTTTTCCAGGAATAGATGGTGGCACCCTGTTCATGACGTTGACCCACATTTTTGTTCCTCTCTCTCTCTCCCTTTTAAAGTGGAAAGTCCATCCTGATATCAAATTGGTTTTAACAGAAGCAGACAAATAAGAGAAACAGTTCAGTGAAAGTTTGAGCAAATATTCTGATTCTCATATAAATAAAAAATAATTATGAATTTATGAAAACACATATCTTTCCTATGTTTAATCAGATTTTGCTTTCGGTAAACATTCATTGACCTGTTCCTCTCATTTCTGCTTTATTACAACAAACTCGATATCAATGTTATCTTCCCCTTTAACGGTGAAAGCAACAACTGTTTATGGCAATGTCACGTTTGCAGGTAGAAAACTCTGTTTCGCTTTGACATCCTGCCAGGACCAATTAGGAGTCTGGTGTGCCAAAGGTTTGTTGTGTTAAGCCAGGGACAAATATTCAGTGATCTCTGATTCCTTTGGCAACATTTTTTCATGTCACATTGTACCTCTCCTATCCTAACACAACTGGACAAGTCACCACACCCTATATATCTGGGCCCCGCTTCATAGAACTTGTTAACAATAACAAGTGCTGGAATACTATGCAAATTTGCTCTCAGCCAATCAAATGCCACAATTTCAGGAGCTTATAACAGATGTTGTAACTTGTTAAACAATAACAAGTGCTGGTATACTATGCAAATTTGCTCTCAGCCAATCATATGCCACAATTTCAGTAGCTTATAACAGTTATTGTAACTTGTTATTGTAACAAGTTTTATGAAATCGGGCCATAGAAAGTGAATCCTGCAAGCCACACAGTCAGTTTGTAGCCAAAAAGGTGTCCACTAGTATTGTTTCATCCAGATTTAAAGCCCTTCTGTCCCCAACGAGACGACATTTCTATCTCCTGCATGAAGGAAGTTTCTAGATATAACCGACGTATCAAAATAGCTTTTATCCGTTTGGAGCTAGAAGGGAGGTAACTCATATACAGGTGTACATGTACTTTTAACATCAACCATTCTTGGACATTCATGGGTTAGTGTAAAGCAATGTTGGCTCTCATGTTGGAGTGCTTTCGTGACTCGAGAATAAAGAAGCGCTACAACTGGAGACAAGTAGTTTGGGACTTGGTACCCTCCCCCCCCCCCCCCCCCCGAAAAAAACCTCAATGTGTAGTGCTTCCATTCCACCCTTCCCTGAAAATGGTACAATCCTAAGTCTCTTACCGGAATACCCAGCTAGTACAGCTGCAGGGATAACAGGGTTCGAGACCACTTCGCCTGCGAGGGGTGAATCGGACCGCGACGCCCCTCCGATACTCCCTAAATCGGAGCTTGTGCAGCTGTCGGACAGGGAGCGCGGGACCTGTTGGTAGGGGGCGGGGCCGGACGGGGCATGCCCTTCATAAGATTCATAGGATGTGAACTGGTTGCCTACATGAGAAAAGAAAAGAAATAAAAACGAGGAGCAGGCATGATTAATGTAGGTGTGGTTAAGAGTGGGAGGGGGGGGTGGAGGTTGGGGTGGGGGAGGTAAAATGCACACAACACAAATGCAAGAAATAATAAAGCAGTAATACTAAATGAAGAAAATACCAATGATCTAATTTTGAGTTAAAATTAACTCTAAAACCTTACAACTCAATTTGAAGCAAAGTAAAAAGGAAGCAAAGGAGAAGCCATAGGTTATTTTTCTAGAGAACATGTTTAATAGGCAAACTACTGACAATCCTAGAACAGATCCAATCTAATATTGTTGTTTTGTTGTCCAGCAATCTAGCAACTGCTATAAAATTGTTTTGAAACCATATGAAAGTAGAGACACTACACTGGAGGGGGACGAGTCATTGGGTCTAAATAGGTACTAATCACGAAAAGGTTAAGAGGGGGCGATGACGGACACGCCGATGGAGGCACCGATCGGTGGGACTACATGTATATCTCCTGACTGTGTCAATGCTTCCTACTGCGCCTTACGCAGAGGATCCAGAGGCATCGGGTCTATCTACGGCAGCTTGACGGGGGATGAGCTATTTTTGGTACCTTGCCAACGACTCAACCTCACTTTATTTCACTCTTTTCCTCCATTAAAGATACGAGTCGAGTTCCGGTCATGTGACTGAATCGTGAATGAAACTGTCTGGAAGGTATTGGGAAAGGCTGCTTAAGTAGCACACACACAAACAATTAAATCTATTTTCAAGTATTTGAATCATCAAATGGATAACAAATTGACTAATCTGGCTGAAAATCAGGCAAAGTGAAAAAAACTCTGGACATGGATATGGATATTTGGGACTACAAGTACAAACACAAGTGGCATGACAGTTTGGTTCAAAGTTTTGAAAATTTTCTAGTAACACTGGGAATATGAGAGTTTCCATCAAGAGCAACGCCAACTCTTTTTATTGCTGAGAACTACAATATTCTTACACATGGGCATAAAAAGTCTGAAAATGCTTGCAAAGTATTTGTCAGCAATTACCAAAATTTGACCCCCTCTTTAAAGACGGTAATCGCGTTGGAGCGTCAGACAGACGTAGTGTTTATGTTCACGTCGAAGGTCACACAGACTTAAATTTAGAACACAGGAAATGCGGCTACTTTCCGCTTTTTGTACTCTGCACCAGGCACTGGTAGTTGCTGTACTGTGCATCGTGCTAGCCCCATGTATGTGCCAACTAGAAGACCTACTCAAAACAAAAGGTCCATGCGACACCCCAAATTACACATACATGTGCTCTCAACATGACTAAATGTATTTTTGTTTCAATGTAAGCACATTTGGTTTGGTCAAATTCCTGTACGTTTCCTCTTTTGTATTTTCCTTACGAATTGGGAAGACAAATATTAAAAAGTGCTATCTTTTTACAAGTCTACACTTTTACTTCTAATTTTGTATACATAACCATGTACCTGGTAATGCAGAGTCTTTCCATTCACTCCATTTGTTCCTATCAAATGCATGAATTTTAACAATGAAAGATAATTTCAAAGGTTTGCTGATTTGAGAGCTACAAGTGTAACCCAAATCATTCAGCTTTTTTCAAAAATTTAGTTTTATCGTTATAAAATTGAAGAAAGCGTTTAAGGAATTTTTATGAATGACGCTGAAGCAGGAGATGACTCACAAATCTTGTCTCAGCCATCTTCCAAGTATTTTGAGAGCCAAAAGATGGATGGACATTTTGGGAGAGGAAAAAACAGGAAGAGATGGGCAGAGATCCCATGGGTCTTTACCCGATTCAGGGCTGGTGATGGAAATGGCAGTCAACTAGAAATAACTAAGGACCTATAACCGATCCTTGGGGGATTCCCAATGTGCACTTTGACATTATTACACAAGGACCAACAGATCAGTGGAGGATACCCACTAAGGACGTGTGTTTGTGTGTGTTTTGAGGGGGGGGGGGGGTACATTATTGAAGATCATCAACACCAAACAAAAACAAGGACATTGTACTGATCCTAGGGGAATTTTCAATGTGAATGAGGATGTTGGGCAGAGGGGGAGAAAGGCAAACCTTCATGAACTAGAAACGAGGACTTGACAATTCTCTTTTCATTTAGAGTGGAGGTGGGGGAAGGATAGACAAGTGGGACACTTTAAAATTGTTGTTAAAAACAAGCTTTGTCCACAGATGACCATATTATGGTATAAGCTTGGGGTTGTTTGCATAATATTCTGTAACATCTATCTTACATGATTGCTTCGTTACTTGTTTTGAGAGTCTTCGTTTTCATCTTTAATATCCTACCTGACATCAGTCATCAAAACTACTGGCTCTGCAGTGGCAAGGTAATGAAGCCAGTGATTGATTTTCATTATCTTTCAATTATTTTGATTAATTCTATTAACTTGGAAGTTAGGTTCATTAAAAAGCAAACACAGTTTGGTTACGATTTATCTGGAAGTTGTTCCACTAACTTTTTTGCCGGAAGTGACAGGCAGTGCCATGTTATTAAGCGGAGGAAATGCACTCTCCATGCAATGAATGGGTTATGTCATGCTATACACTAACAGGATCTCATTGATCTTATGTGGAAGTAGCTTCCGGACGATATCCCTCTCAACATACAACCGTCCTATTGCACTTACACACGCTAGGGCACGTACCACTGGCACTTTGTAATCATACCGTATAGTTGGCTAGTCATACCCTTGAGCTAATAGTAATGGAAGTTGCATATAGCAGCAGGCAGTCAGGCAGTCTGGCAATGCAAGCTGGAGAATTCAATTTCAGAAAAAAACGAAACCAGGAAAAGGCAAACCGATCGGCAGGAAGCCTGCCACAGCAAACGCCTTGCACGTCACTTCCTGGTCGGCTTCCATATAAGGGCACAACTTGTTGCTGAATGAATGAAACTGACATTGCTAACTCATCACTTAACCCTTGTTTTTCCCCCTTCCTAGCCTTTCTGTCGAGTTCATGAACGACTAAGCTCTCAAGATTGCTTTGAAAACCATTACGACGCGCACAGATTTAGCTTTCGCTCCGACCTTCTCTCGCCTTGTTTTTGCTGCATTTGTGGAACTTTCTTCCGTGGGTTCCAGGGAAAGGAACTCGTTAATTAAGGAATGGAAGTCTGTTGATGGCGCACTATTTATAGCAGTGTCAGGGCTTAGCATGGCTAGCGCAATTTAGTGGAATGGATTTGGGTTCTAATTTCGGGGGGATTTTCGGGGTGCATTCTGGACCATGTGGGTAAAGCCGTGTCCAATAAACAAGAGATGACACACACCCACGATGTCAGTGAGCACCAAAGCCATTTTAGGGTCTTAGCTACACGTTCTATCTACCAACAAACAGATGACTAACTACAATTACAGGTATCCAACAAGTATATACCCTTTAGTTAACTTTAACTCAAACACACTACTTGTAGATATCTCAAAACTAGTCTTCTCTTAATGATAGACTTTTCATGCTCTCCATTATAGCATAACAGATAAAACTGAGGGAATCGATGCTCTCTGCAACTAAATTCTAAGTTGTAGTTCAACCCAACTCAAACATGCTTGCTTCATGACCTTTTGCATAGAATCCTTCAGTTGTAATTGTGTATTATTAGTTCGATCTGTGGCTTTTCCACAAAACAGAAATTTTTTTGTAGGCCTTTACCTTTTGCCGTGTTAATATAATGAATACAAGAGGGCATGGGTGAGTATAAATGAACCTCTCATCAAGGAAACCTGCAACTGGTACAGCATCGAGGCTTTATACTCTTTGTGTCAATGACAATTTTCAAGAAATCATAATGATGTCAAGATTATTGATAAATATCGTCACTTTTAAATGACAAATTCATATACATGCATATGAGTGTCTTTACTAAAAGCTCTTTATGTCAGTCAACATGAACATGCCTCTTTTCTTTGTCCACAAATACTTTAGAAATGACATCTCAACAACCAGGACTGGGAATTCAAGGTATCTCTTTAATTCAGGTAGCTGCCCAAAGTTGGTTGGGTACCCTAAAATGATACAACAAAAAGCATCCACTAGATTTACTATTTTTGTTAGATCTAACCGTTCTATAAACATGCTTAAATTTGACCATTTATAGCACCCAAGTACCTTAAAATATACGTCCATTCCTTGGTTAATATTGGAGTTTCTCATTAATATATTTTTTCATCCATATTAGGCCATGTTCACTGCTATTACCATGCCTCTCTAAGTAAAAAACAGGGGTATTCTTGTGTGCCTTTCTACCGGGCATATATTAAACGCATTCAAGGTGCAAGACTTACCTTTATATGTACTGTGTCCGTTGTTGAAGTATGGCATTGGAGGGTCGTAAATGTGAGGGTTGTTGTAGATCTCTGGCGTCGGTGTCTCCAGGAAATGCTGGTTGGAGTTTGGTGAGGATTCGAGGCTGTAGTAGTCCGAGCTGCTACCGGTATCCTCCTGCTTGATATTCAGGATGTCTTCAGCATTGAATTCGTTGAGGGTCTGCAGGGACTCTGAAACCTGGTACATGCCGTCGCTGAAGCCGCTGCACTGGGGCGCCGAGACGGGTACGGCTTGTGGTTGATCTACAGAGAAACCTGAGCGAGGGAGTCAAGTGATGATCCAATGATTCAAATGATTTTATTTCTCATTCAAAACATAATACAATGAATATATTACAAAAATATGCAATGAAACAACAAATATAATAGAAAAAGCAAGAGAAAAGAGGAACTGTTAGTTCCTCAGATACAGTGTTTTCAAATGTTTCAACAGACATGGATCTTTGATGCTGCTGCTGGAAAAGCATTGGATTTCAAAGGCAATCTTTTCTTCTCAAAGATGAAATATTCTACCAATGAGCTTGTGAGACGAACAGGGACAGCCTGGTTTTGGACTGCAGGAAGAAGTGAGAGATGAAATATAAGCATATGGCATCTCCAAATATATCCACAAAACAAACAATATACAAGTCTTGTTCTTGGAAAATCGTTGATTTTCATAAGCAATCTTTTCTGTTGAAGAATTACATGCAATCCCGGCAGCGATAAAACCAGTTCCACTGATCAACATCAGTCACAAAGACAAGAAGATAATCTGCAGAAAAGCTAGAGTGCAGAAGAAAGTAAGCAAAGTGTCTCTAAATATAACCAAAGACACTAAAGGGATTCTTGTTGTTCATGGAAAAACTGCGCTGAAGGAAACATCTTTGCATAAGAACTACACAAACATCCGGATTAATCTAACATGAACTCGATACACACATCCTAAATGTTATGTGTCCATTAGAAGAAGTAAAAAAAATCTGGTAGAGATGTATGCAGAGATCCAGATACAATTTGCAGAATGTCACAAAGATGTTTTTATTTGGAATGAAAATGCAATTTGCTTGTCTAGGAATATGCCCACGCCATACGCCCTAATTACCTTGAAACCTTACCAAAGAAACCCAATCAACACACTACGCACGAATCAAGAGCTACTAATCATTCAAGAAGGATGTACAGATATAGGTAAACTTCCAGAGACCCTTTTTTATCAAAATAAAGACGAAGCCAATGCACGGAGGATGGACTTCCTTTCACTCAAAACAAAAAATAACATACCATAGTATCTGTGAGCAGGATGCATCACTGCCATTTGTTGAGCGAACGGAAGAGACATAAGGAGCGATTACTAACGAAGTCCGGTTGTATGCTGGAAGTAATCGTGCCACGGGCGTAGAGAAGAGTTTGGAAACTGACAGAAGATAGCTCCAAAAGGTGTGGTATCCCAAGGTTTGTCACGGGCAAGGAGTGTACTAAAAGATGGGTCCCAGATTGCTGAAGATAATTCCACAAGGTATGGTCGATGCCCCGAACTTCACTGATCACCATGAATACAGAACCTGGTATCTCATAATATCACAAATGAGGGAACTGTTATCTTCCCAGAAAACCAAAGGTGGATGTCGTCCAGTGAACTGCCACGGAAGTTCTATCCAACCGTCATTGAAATGGGATGAACTACCAAACACCCAACGCACCAGGCCTATATGTTACAAGCAACACACTAGAACATGGCAATGGAAAGATATAGGCTTAGATTCTGGGTAACCCAACGCCACATCACGATCGCACCACCACTGAGATAAGTTAGAAAAAAAGTCACACACACGTACACAACACCTATTGTTTTACCCATCTACATAATCCATTTTTTTTATATAGTTCCTCGTCTTTCGTGGTAAAACTAAGGAAAAGGGCTGAGCGGGGATCCACAGACGGCTAAAGGAATCTTTGGGTGAAATTAATCCCACTATCAACCAAACCCACTCTTTCCTGTTCAACATCCCAAACTCCACCAGGCCTTTTTTTTCTTTCTTTCCTTCTTCTCTCCTAAAAATGTTTACTAGAACAATTCTGACGTTCAGGAACTCCACTTCCTCTTGAAAGTCAATGGTATTGACTTCTTCTTTGGAAGGTGTTTACCAAAAGGGAAATACAACTCCTTTTCGTGTAACAAAAATTCAATCGCCCATTGGCCCGTTTGGCTTTCCGAATCAATATTTTTGTTTTTCTGCCTTCCTGCCGTGTTCTTAAAGTGGGTTATGAACTAGGTAAGAGGGTGAAACCTGTGTCCGACAAGCAATTAGAGTCTGTTGAACCTTTACTTCACCTGTTAAAGGCACGGGCTAAGGGTATTACTGTTGAAACTCAGTGGAAATGCGGATTTAGACTCCCAATGGCTTAGGTATTGTTTAACAATGTTAAATCTGAGATTCATTGCCCTACATGTTAACAATGTCTGTGATATGGTGTAATATTAAAGCCCTAAAAAAATGATCACAAAGTGCCTTAAAAAAGGTAAAAATCTTTGAGTGACCGGTTTTACCATACTCATTTTGCCAAATAGACTGTAGTGTTATGCAAACCTGTTAGGAAAACGACGCAAAATTTGATTTTGATTTTCAGTCATAAATATCTTGATAATCAAAGTAGACTAGATGCAGCAACTTATTAAAACATAAGAGCAAATCCCTGAATAAGTTGTATGTATACAGTGCATTGTGCACATAAATCCCATCATTAAATAAAATGAAACAATGAATATTCTGCATATTGGTGGGCAACACCAATGAAGTCTTATCTCTTTCATCAAGGAAAATCTTTCAAATAGGGATTTTATTTCCTGGTAAACACCTCCTGTGAGTGCTGTAGGTATCAGTAATCCTTATTCAAACAAGGAAGTGTCTAGTGCCCCCTGTGCTGTCTCCCCCCTCCCCCTCACACACCCTCATTCCACACTTACTTGTGCCCTTGCATGACTATGTTTCTAACAAAATGTATAGTCATGTTCAACTACAATTGAAAGTCACAATGTATGTGTAGTTGCATACAACAATTTGAAGTTGACACACGTACAATACAGTGGCTCTTTTTAATAGTACATAAATATAGTGATAACAACTAAATTATGCGTTTACCAAGTTTTGTAATTTGTTAAGTATGTGAACATTTTGTTGTTTCCTGAGAATATGACATATCAAAGCTTACATCTATAAGTATTTATTTGCAAATTATACTTTTGAGTTGTTTGAATCTTTTAATTAGATTCTGTTCAGGGATCATGATTAGCAACTTTTCAAAATTTTAGGGTAGAAGTATTTACAAAATGGGATAAGTAAAACCGAGACTTCAAATTGAATAAATTTACCAATGAAATCATTCTAGAATACACATTAACAAATAATTTGATGAATATCAGCTGAAAGTATACACAAAGTTTTTAAATACAACTCACAATCTGCAAAAAACCTTGGAAAAAATCTTGCGAGACTGCATAATGCGCTCACCCACTCAGTAAGAAGTTAATGCTGTTTGGGTAACACAAGAATGACTTGATACGGGTCCATCTTCGACATGACAGGAAGAGCCAATTAAGACGTTTTGACTCGCAAAGAAACGCTATCGCCTATCTTTCAGAAGCAAAGTATGCCATTTCATACTGGTGTTATTGAAGAGGAGACACGAGAAGAACGTGTAATCTACCCATCGTCTGTATAGAGTATCGTCTGTTGAGTGCCAGAACGGCGTTCCTCCATACTTCTATACAGAGTTAACACCCTTCTGGCTTGGCTCTCAACAGACATACAGTCAACATCGTGCGATAAACCAGAGCTCTTAAGACAAGGACAATTTTTGTACTTGTTTGTGATGACATTAACTACATTTTTTTTTAGAGGAACCCTACATTATAAAAGATAGATTCTAGGAAGAACATTTGGGCAAATGTGCAGCTTGCCCAAAACAAATCAATGGGCGAATTTATGAGTCACAGAGCATCAAAATCGCTTGAGCAAAGATATTACAAAAAACAAGAGACAGAAACAATTGAATGAATTTGATTGGAAGCTAACACTAATACTATGTATGATAACACTGACAAGATTGTTCTAAAAATTGCTCTTCAAACATATGATCCATGCAAACAAGTATTAGAAAAATATATATATATATATATATTTACAACTTACAAGCATTTACTGTACAAGAAAATATGTAATTATAAGTGGCAGGGCCCCCAAGTATAACAGTATTTTAACTAATGATGGGGCTACCCTGTTGAAATAAAACTAAATAAATAAATAAAAACATACCTTGTGCTAAGAAGTCATCTAATCTGGGCATACACGATGTTGTGTTGAGATAGCCAGAGCTGACGTTCTCCAGTTTGATGGACTGTAACGAAGAAGAAGATGAGGCTGTCGTTGTGGTTGTCGTGGTAACGGAGACGGGCGGAGATGCAGTAGACGATGAGGAGGATGTGGAGGTGGAGGATGAGGAGGACTGGGCTGGAACGTTGGCTGGATCACATTCTGTAGAAACATTGGAAAGAAGGTAATGATTAGGATTTTTTTGTTTGTATTTGTATGTTTTATTAAATCAAAACTAATTGATTGAATCACTCACTCTGCCTTTAAATCTTGGTTTTCACCAATCTTTAATTTTCCGAGTTATGCCGAGTTATTTCTAAACTACTAAAGTTGCCAGCTATGAATTTTTTTTTCTCCAATTGCATACACGTTTGGATCAATATCCTGAGAAATGGTTTTCAAACTAGTACAAGTTTATGCAGGATAATCTAGGATAGCCATATAATAACAAGAACCAAATAAATACAAATAGAATAAGAAAAATTGAACAAAATCAAGACAGTCTTGGGGGCGGAAATTGCAACATTTGAAAAGATTGGTCTCCGATGCAGAAAAGCAACATTGTTCGAGCATTTATTGGTAGAGAAAAGCCTTAGCAAGAAGTAAAGGAAATCTTAGAATAATTGATTTGAGAAAAAAAATGGGTGTAATATTAGAGTATCCAAGTACAAGTCTACATTACATGCTATAGATATATGACATAGGGAGGAAGCTACTGTGTGGTAGAAGGTGATAAGAGCACTGTAAACTAGTATAACATTAAGAAGGGAAATCTATATACATATATATATATATATATATATATATAGACAAAATGATAGATCTTGGAAGGAAGAAAGAGATTCTAGGGTAAGATTTGATACAGAAAGAGAACAAAAACAATAAGAGGTGTGATAGAGAGAGGGGAGAAGTAAAGAGGGAGAGAGAGAGAGAGAGAGAGAGAGAAAGAGGGGGGGGGGTGGGGAGTGTATTTTGGTTAAGGATAAAAAGAAAAGCTCAGAGAGAGAGAGAGAGAAAAGCCAACAACAACAAGAGACAGACATATGCATAAACAGATGGAAAGCAGAGAGATATAGAAAATGAGACAATACAGGAAGCTAGCCAGAACAAGGGAAGAATGACAGAGGGAAAAAAAGAGAGGCAAGGAGATATTGGAAGAGACAACAGAAAAAAAGATTAATAACAAAAAAGCTAGTGATGAACAGAGACTGACACACATCTATATGGCTAGACAGTCAGATGCAAACAAGAGACTACGCGAGACCCAAACACAACCCACAAACCATCCCTTTCGAAACAACAAACCTCCCCGGACGACGGAGACCCTCACCTTTACGGAGCATGTCGATGTGCTCCCAGAGGATGTCGCCCATGAAAGGGGGCGCCCTACTCAGGAAGTCTGTCTTCGGGAGGGTGCAGAGGTCGCGGCCGCTGATTCGGAAGTTGTTGATGGACACTCCCTCTAGACTGAACTCCTTGATGGACCAGTGCACCCAGGCTACAACCTGACATTCGGACCATCGAGACGGATCTATCAAAATAATAAAAAATAATTAAATCTTTGGTAAAGGTGAATAATAATAATCACATTTGTAGAGCACTTTAAGAGAAGTTTGAGTTCTTGGAAGAGGAGAAATATAGTTTGTGAGCATTATCATTGTAATATGCGAGTGTGGAAGAATATCAGATAAAAAATGTTCCCTGAAAAGCATGGCCCTTCAAATGCCTTGATATTCTAAATATGGCATGTAACATAACAACATTAATATTGGGACAGATTTTTACGCAACATGTTCGTGTAGTCCCATATACACCTTTCTGTGTACAGTGCTTGTAACTTTACCAAGACTTGGCCAATTTTTTTATCATTTTGATGATTCCATAACCTGGCAGTACACACCAATACTTATAATTATGCTAGATGATCAACTTTTTCTGATCGATTCCACAACGTTTCTTTCACAATGCAATCGCATGACCAGAACTTAACTTCATCTTTAAAGGGATTGGGTAACTTCGTATCAGATTCTGAAACAAAATCCTGGATTTATCTCATGCTACAATAATTATAAACCTTTAGGTCAGTCAGGAACCCCATGTCTTTTACAAGCTGATCGCCTGTCTGATTATCAAGATATTTATGATTGAAAATCGAAATCAGATTTTGCGTTTTCATAACACTAGTCTATTGGGGAAAACGAGTATGGTAAAGCCGGTCACTCAAAGATTTGTTCTTTTTTTGAGGCACTTCTCACTATGAACATGACTGACAAAGAAAGCGGACAAAATATACAGTTCCTCAAGTAGACAAACGAACATCCCTTCACTGCTATTATGTAAAAAGGTGAATATGCATGTGACACCTGTTCTATACATTTTGACATAATAGCAGTGAAGGGATGTTCCTTTGTCTGCCTGAGGAACTGTATATTTTGTCCGCTTTCTTTGTCAGCCATGTTCATAGTGTCTTGATCGTTTCGAAGTGCAATTTTTTAGGGCTTCAATATTAAACCATATCACAGACACTGATAACACGTAGGGCCATGCATCTCAGATTTAACATGGTTAAACAATGCCTTAATAGGTTTCTAAGTGCTTTACATTCAAATTATTTTTGAGATTTCTTCTTGTTTACATTATTGTGTTTCTTTTAATGGAGGTATCTCGTATTAGCATTGTCTGACGAGAGAGATGGGTCTTTAAGTGTTTTATAACAGGAAACATCATACTACTTTTTTACCAAAGTCTGATGCCATTGTTTTAGTAGTTATACATGTAATCTTGCTCCCTTTTAGAATTTCTGGGGCAAATATTCCATCATATCCTGTACCTATATCTATTTTATCATATTTTTCTTTCTTTACAAATTGATTCCCTTGATTGTAGGCAATCATCGTACATTTTAGAATTCCAAATCTTAATTGCTCCTCTTTACAGTTTCTGCGGCAAATAGCCCAAAGCCTGTCCGTCATCTTTCTCTGTGGACGTTTTCTTCTTTTACCGAAACCCTGACGGTGAAAAATCTCTGTACCTTTTGGGATTCCAAGCCTTTCTTGTTCCTTCTTGAAGCTGCTAAAGCTTTCTCTGAGGCATGCATTCATCAGAGCGTTAGTGCCTGGCGTTGGTGGTGGGACGGCTGGATGGAGATCTGCAAAAAAGAACAACAAATGCAATATTGTTAGACCTTTAATCATAATCAATGTTATATGTTAAACATTCACCTACATTTGCCATTGTCCACACAGGTGAAGTAAATGGATACCTGGTAGGAAGAAATTCCTTGAATGATAGCGGCCGTACGAGTTACGAGGGTAGCTAGACTCGAGCAAAGGTAAAGCGCTATATACATGTAAATGTTACGATCGTTATATTATTAGTAGCATAATTATTATCATTCTAGAGAAACATGGAGAACTACATTTTGAAGATGGGAATGAAAGAAGATTAGCAGAATGCTCAATTTATAAAAGACACAAATGCAGATACTAATGTACATGCAAGAGAAAAGGTGACTTAAATCTTCAATACACTTTCCCAAGAAAATGGTAATAAGAATGCTCGGATTTGTTTGATAAAACTTTTGACGAGATAGGAAACTGTCAACGAAATTGTAGCAGCGCTAGCCAGTGAGTTGAAACAAGGAAATAAATATATTCCTACCAAACCACTTGAATTTGAATTTAAACGATAAAGAAGGATACAGAATATGTCATTCTAAAACTTTCGGTTGCGCATACAGACTGAATCTGATTACATTCATTGTTCTGTAGTTTCAAGGACATTCCACGTAAAAGGGACAAAAATCTAAGAAAGTCACGCACGAATTAACAAAAGTCAACATCGTCTAGAAAGCACATATACATGTTGGTCTCGAAACAATAATCTTATATTGTTTCTAAGGCTAGTCTTTAAATCCCCATTTTACAGTATAGGGATACTCATTTCCTTGCACAAAGTGTTTTTTCTTTCTGTTTTCTGACTTTGTTTTGAGAAAAAACACACAGGGAAATAATGTCAATTCAGTTAGACCTACAGTTTAAGATTAAACAAAATAAAATATGTATTCTTGAATTATATACCCGGAAATAAATATTCATTTGATTATTTTAACTAAATGATTTTTAGAAAGTTTCAAAACTTATAATCATCATCCTTTATTACTATCATGTTTCTTTTGTGGGAGGGGGGGGGGGGGTGCGCTGGCCATAATCTTGAGGGCACAAATATGTTGAAACAGTAACTTTTTAATCGAGTAAGTATGCTGTCCTTTAATATAGGAAGTATTTACTTATACTGTGCTTGCATCCTTGCCCAATATCAAATCGAATTGGCAAATATCTTGGGGCTTCAAGTCCATATAATTGAGTTGTTCAAATACTAGTGTACATTATTTGTTAACTAATTCACAAGTATGCTCAAGTTTTTTTTAGCAAATATAAGCATTCATAATGGAGTGGCAATCTACTAAGAGCAGAGGGAACACCTCAGTCGTGTTGCTAAACAGACAACAAACCAACTCTGTTGGTGAAATCAGAAAAAAATGGGACTTCCCTTTGATATGAACAAAAGATACAACACCCTCCCCCCCCCCCCCCCATCACAAAAGTATGATGAAAAAGATTGGACAATGTTTTTATGTAATATACAATTTACTGTATGCTTGCAATGTAGCCTGCTTCTTATGTAGATGTAAACCAAGTATCTTATTATCTCTTATAAAGCAATGTTAAGTTTTATCATGTTACACAGATGTTAAATAGATTAGTTTCATCATTCACAAATATAAACTTGCCATCATTCACTCCTTATGTTTTAATTTGTATGCAACCAGACCCGAGTGCATGAGAAGTTCATGATGCTAGAAAGGCAGAGGTCTTTAGTGTTGACTCTCTGATGATGACCTTATCTTATTTGGATATACTGGTATCTGTTTCAATATTGCATCGGCAGCTAGATGTATTAACACTGTAAGCAGATATCCACCTCAGGAGTGTGGCTTTCTGAAACACTGGCAGAAAATTTCACTGGTTTTATGCAGTGTAAATGCCCGCTCGAAACATTGGTGAATGATTCCAGTTTTGGTCGCAGAGTAGCGAGAGGTAACGTGTGCACACTACTCACCCCCCTTCCCCCCTTAACAAGAATGAGCGAACATCAATGGTTTCTTACAGGTTTTTCCATAAGTTGTCGATGGCATTAAAAAAACTGATGGTTTTTCAAAAATATGTTTGGGCTGTGTAAATGGGCTTAATTAATGTTCAGTTTTATCATATTACATATGAAACTATGCATGAAAAGTCCAAGATGCATGTAGAGTTTAATAGAGCCCCTTTTTTTTACTCTCTTAAAAAAAAAGAGTGAATTTTCACTCTATTTTCACTTTCTTGGGAGTGACGTCCGTGATCACTCGTTTAGGAGTGAAAATCGATTGATTTTAGAGTGCTCTCTAAGAAGAAAAGAGTGAATGTTCACTCTGTTTTCACTACATTTTCACTCTCAAGAGGAGTGATGTCCGTGATCACTCAATTTTTTTTATAGAGTACTATGAATGTGACCTCATCTTATGTTGATAGTTTTGTTTCCATATTGCATCACCATGTCCATCTTTAATCAGGCAAGAATAATCATAACTGAATAATATCCATCTGATAAGCCTTCTGTACACAAGATATTTTGATAGTGGTTTATAAATACTGATGCAACATGTATTTTTATCGCATATGCTTCAATAACAACTGCATATTGCAACACCATGTCTAACTTCCAACAAGAAAATAACGTCAGCGTTTGATTAATCATAACTATTAATCTGTTTAGCCTTGTTTCGCAAGATGTGTGGATAGTGTTTACTATAGACTTGCATAAACATGTGTACTCAGTAAGCAGCCACATGCTGCAGGCTCGAGCGCAAGAAGGACGTATTAATTAATGCATGGGTAAAAAATAAAGCCACCTCTTTGTTGAGTCATTTCAGACTAGAAGCCAAGCTTTTGTAGATACTTGCTATGCATAGATGGGTTGTATACAAAGGGAAAGACAAGTCAGGTGAAAGACAGAATGATACTGAATGAGAGAGGGAGGGAGAAAGAGAGGGAGAGAGAGAGAGAGAGAGAGGAGAGAGAGAGAGAGAGAGAGAGAGAGAGAGAGAGAGAGAGAGAGAGAGAGAGAGAGGGAGAGAGGGAGAGAGAAAGAGAGAGGGAGAGAGAGAGGGAGAGAGAGGGAGAAAGAGAGGGAGAGAGAGAGAAAAGAGAGAGAGAGAGAAAAGAGAGAGAGAAAAGAGAGGGAGAGAGAGAAAAAAAAAAGACAGAAGGGGAAAGAAGGGGGAAGAAGGGGGAAAGGGGGAGGGGGGGGGGGAGAAAGAAATAAGAAACTAATATACAATAAATAGCAAATATTGTTGGAATCATGATCATAAACAGAAATGAGATAGAAATGTGATATCAAATGAAAAACAATGATAGGAAAGAGAAGAGAAATGGAGATAACATTGGGAGAAAAAAAGTACATTCATGAGTTTGCCCAACTTTTTTAACAGCTGTTGGATGTATCTCCTTGGACAAGGAATCGTGTTAACCAATCTGATTTAGATCGTGTTGGTCATGTCTTGGGCCTAAGTGTTTCTAGAGAGGGAAACTTGAACAGCTGCAGTTCACAACCACAACTAAAAAGTACAATAACTTCATATGAAAAGGGAGAACACATACTGTATGCAGAGTCAAATCATAGGTCTTACAAATGATGTCTTGAAGTTTGACATGCAGTGTTGTACGATACATAAGCCATACTTAATCTACACCTCCCTCTCAGACAACTTCTGAATATCTTCGTTTTACAAAAACCACATCTTGGCAACTTAATCATAAAATATTTAGGGGATAATGATTAATTTGTTTTCATGCTGAACTTTCCAGGTTGTGTACATTGAACTCTTACATGTAGATGACATCAGCAAAAAACAATGTTGTTCAACATGTTAATTTTATTTGATCATTTGGAAAATGTGGAAGGATGCTTGTGAAGCAAATACTTTCATAACAATATTTTGTAAAATGCATAATTACAGAGACAGAGACAGAAACAGAGAAACAGAGAGAAACAGAGAGAGACAGAAAGAGAGGGAGAGACAGAAACAGAGAGAGAGAGACAGAGAGAGAGAAAGAAAGACAGACTGAGAGAAAGAGAGAGAGAGAGAGACAGAGAGACAGAGACTGTTGTGTTGTTGTGCTCAGTGACGCCTTAAACCACACCTTCCTCCAGCGCCATGGCAACAATGCTCCATCTGGACTCCGTCTTTGACCAGAATGAACTCTAGGTCATTGCCCTTTTGTTTGAAGAGCTAGCAACACAGACCCTAAGCCCAAATCATGGGGCGTGACACCCAATCCCTCTCAGGGCTTTGAAATACCTAGGCTATATATCTAGACCCTCTGGAACATCCTTTGCTCTGCCAATGCTCAAGATTTCTGGTATGAACCTATTAGGAACCTCAATGTATTGAAACTAATGTTGTGAAAAATCAAACGTGCAAAGATTAAGAAATGTGGGGGGGGGGGGGGGGGTTGTGACTACAAAGATGACAATAAATGAGAAAGAAAATGATGTTGATGAAGATGATGAGGAGAAGAACATGAAATAAACACAAGATGAATGACGATAAGAAAGAGAAAGGGAGAAGTAAGAAAGAAAGGGAGAAAAAGAAAGACAATAAACAGATAAAGTAAATATATTAAAGAGAAGAGAGTATATAACAAATTTTGTCAGAAGATTTTCTTCTGGTCAAACCATGGTCTATATTCATAGACTACTCACATCCAGATATATGTACAAAATGCTGCTACTATTTCTATTGTGTTCTGTGTGAGGACTCTATTGATATTGTTTTCTTCTTTAGTTGTCTTTCCTAGGTTAATTTCCTCCAGTGTTGCTGGTCATGAAGTGGAACAGGGCAACTTAACCGCAAGAAAGGAAAATTGTGGGGGAGGGGGAGGATAGAGATAAGTGAGAGATAAGGAGTATATTGAATCTACAGTAAGCAGGTTTTTGTTTGCCACTGATGAAGTATACTCATTTTAAATATCTATCAAATCGATTCCTACTAACAACTTGTTTGACCAATTTTTCCCCTTTTATTGACAAACCCCATTTTCA